GAGCAGTGGAGGTAAAATAGCAGGAAGAAGGCAAAGGGAAGTGCCATGTACACACAAACTGCACCCTTAAAACGCTGGTTGGCGGTCGTTTTGTTTGACGCGGTTTTTCAACATAGACGGAATATTGAAGAGGCGGCACCTTCATTTGATTTGACCGCCCCTCTGGGGTAGTGATGAGCTGTGATCACAGAGCTGTGAAAGCTTTCGGAACAGAAACATATTCTAAAATAAGAGTAAAATTTTAAACAGGGCGGATCTGACCCATGCCCTCTGAATTATTTGGCGAGAATTTTTGTCTGTACAGCCCCTTCCTTTAACCCTTACGACACCCCCCCCCCCCTCCTTCTGTGTCTGTTGTGTGATGGTTAGGTGCTACGCTGTTGCATGCAAAAGACCCGATTTCGATTCCCGTTTGGGGAGAATGTTTGAAAATTTTGGTCTTTTCTCTTGGGCGTTGTATCCCTCTCAGTCCGGATTGGCCCACCTCCGATCTGAATTGTGTCGATGGGGGCATAAAACACATACATTAAAACAGAACGCCACGGTTTAGAAAAAAAAAGCAAAACACTCAACCCACACTCCCCACCCTTCCATAATCTTCCCCCCCTGAAAACTTTAAATGACGAAAATAAATGTATCGCCTTTCAGGAACTGCGGGTCTCCTGTACACATGTACACAAGTACTGGTACGGGTGTCGTATACATGTATGTGTGTCGTCCGTATGTATAGCCCGGACTGGGCCCGTGACTGACGGACACGATTGTTACGGGTGGAGTAGGAGGATGCAACAAGTGGCCGTGTGAGGAAACATGATCTCACCCAGTCCCCCTCCCCTCCCCGTCCTCCATTTTCTCCCCCTCCAGGCTTTCGCTAGCCCGCATTCCTGTCATTGCCCGGCCACTGAGGACCTTGTGTAACCTCTGACCTACTGCTTAAGCTTTATGATGACTGATGGTCAGTGGTGGCCCCACCCATTCTTTCAAACACTTACACCCCCCTTTTTTTCTTTAAACAACTCTCTTCCAACCCC